TTCTTCTCGGAGAACTCAAACCAAGATCCTTGCAACTTGGGTGGTTGGGACTCTACATTGTTATCCTAACCACTCCCACAGCAGCCAAACTCCTGGGCCACACTCTGTGGTACCATGTGTCCCACCTCAAACTGGCCCCCCAAAATGATCAGTGGAAATCCGAACCCCTGGGCCCCACTTGCCTCCGCCTCACCTGTGGTCCTGACCCGTCGCCCCCTAACCCTTCAGAACCTCCTCCTGACAGTCCTTCTGATATCACCTCTTGAGGCCAACTCATATGTTTGGCGCTTCTACATCCAGGAATCCTGGACTGAGGACCCCACCACCAGGACCCATTATCTTGCACAGGCAAACTGCCAAACAGACAGCTGTCAGTCTACCGTCTCCATCCTCATCCCGCACGGTAAAAATGCTGTACTCAGTCGCAATCATGGGTTTCACTTTCGGCATGGGCTGTGTTTTCTATATGACCAAACCAAGGACTACTGACATTGGTGGAACACCACCTACAGGGGGTGCCCATACTGCTCTTGTGTTATTCACAAGCCACAGCATCCAAGTCGTCCCAACTGCATGCTCACTCGCTTCAGCAATGGTTCCTTAGCCCTCAGCATCCACGACCCCTGGCACAGCCGTTGGGATGCAGGAGTGTCTGGTAAAGTCTATGAAGATTATACCCAGAGCCACCTTCAGGGAACATTGCTAATATTCTGGTCCTATACCCACATTGTCTCTGAAGCAATAAAACAGCTCGGTTCTGTAAGCCATACAATCCTGCAAAATGAAGCCACCCTAACTAACCAATTCAAATCCTCAGATAACACCTCTCAACCTTTCTCTTGGTTGACTCCAGTACAGCAGGGAGCCAACATGTTAAATTTAACTAAAGCCATGAATATCACCAACTGCTTTTTATGTGCCTCTCTCAGCAAACCCCCCCTCCCTTAGCTGCAGTTCCCCTTAGGTCCGGGTTCAATCTATCACAATCACCTATGGGACCCGGCACCATCTTAATGGATATCCCCTTGTTCCAAATACACCCTCAAAATTTCTCTTTCTGCTGAGACAGCCAGCAGCTCCAGTACCAGCTGTAACACCACAGTAAAGGTAAAATCCTCCCTCTACGCACCACCAGGAGGATATTTCTGGTGTAATGGAAACTTAACTAAAGTTATTAATACCTCCTTCCCTTTCCCTTGTGTGCCTATCACCTTGGTCCTGCAGTTAAGAGGTATACAGACAGGCTAAACTTCTATCCCTCCTTCCACCCTCCCCTAATCACCAAGACAAACGAGCAGTCTTCCTCCCAATGGTCATTGGTCTCTCTCTACCATCCTCTCTGGTGGCGGCCGGGCTGGGTAGCGGTGCCCTAGACTACGGCGTCACCTCAGCCACTCAACTAGAGGAGAAGCCTTCTCGTGGCTATCAAAGCGTCGGCTGCCTCCCTGGCCTCCCTCCAGCGACAAATCACGTCACTGGCCCAGGTAACTCTCCAGAACTGATCGGCCCTTGACCTGCTGACAGCAGAAAAGGGAGGTACCTGTCTGTTTCTTCAGGAGCAGTGCTGCTATTACATCAATAAAACAGGCCTTGTAGAAGAAAATGTCAACACTCTATAGCCTCCAAGAGGACCTCCGCAAGAAGCAGAATGCATCAGTCTCGCCTCTTAATTGGTGGCAATCCCCCATGCTAACCTGGTTAACCCCTATTATCACTCCCATCATCGTAGTTTGTGTTCTGTTAATGCTAGCCCCTTTTTTCCTCAGGTTTTTACAGGCCCGCATGAAGGAAATTTCCAGGGTGGCCATAAACCAAATGCTACTTCACCCCTACGTCCCACTGCCAACCGAGGCACCGGCCAACTGACCCTTCTCCCTCACTCCGCCCCTATTCAGCAGGAAGTAGCCAGAAAGAAGCGGCGTCCTATATCATCAAAAGGGTCGGAATGTAAGGCAGTTGCTTTGCCAGGAGGTCGGACACACCCACCTCTGCACTCAGCACCTGACTCTGCACCCGGCACCAGGCTCTGCACTCAGCACCTAGCTCTGCCGCATGGCTCCCCTGGAAGGCTCTGGCCGATGCAACCCTGGCCGGCTCTCGCACCGGAAAACCTGCCCAACAACCTGCCAACCAATAGCGGCCCGCCCCATCTCAATCCGGCTCCCCTGGATCCAATCAGGACGTCCTGCTGTTGCTCGTTCCTCATAGCCATAAAAACCTCCCGACCCAGGAAGTCAGCGCGACTTCTCTGGCTCCCTTTCCCGGACCACAGAACCTCGCCCGGGAGCTGAATAAATTGGCATTTAATTGTCTTATACTGGCCTTAGTTTCCTCATTTTAAACTCAGCAATAACCCTTGCACCTCTGTTCCTCTGTAACCTCTCCTGCCTCCCCCAATCCCTGTCCCCAGGCAATTGATATTCTGCTTTTTGTCACATAGATTAGTTGGCATTTTCTGGAATTGGAATCATACAGAATATATTCTATACTTTCTTGCTCTGTTCGCTCAGTGTAATTATTTTGAGAGTCATCCATTTGCAAGTGTGTAAACAAATCATTCCTTTTATTAAAGAGATAAGGTCTTGCTACATTGCCCAGGCTGACCTCAAACTCCTGGGCTCAAACAATCACCCCACCCAACCCTCCTCAGCAACTGTGACTACTGGTGCACTATTGCACCTGTCTTACATAAATTCCTTTTCATTGCTAAGGAGTATTCCATTTGTATGAATAAACCACAATTTTTTAACCACTTACTTACTCACAGATATTTGGATTATTTCTAGTTTTCAGTTACTACAAATGAAGTTGTCATGAACATTCCTGTACAAGTTTTTGTATGGATATATGTTTTCGTTTCCCTTGGTAATTACCCAGGAGTGGAATGCACAGATTAGATAGTGGTTAATGTTTAACTTTTTAAGAAATTACCTGTTTTCCAAAGTTTTTGTACTATTTTACATTTCCCCTTGCAGCATATGAAAGCTCCAGTTCCTCTAAGTCTTTATCAGCACTTGGTGTTATCAGTTCCTTTATTTTTAGCTATTCTTGGGGAGTATATAGCGAGTATTTCACTGACGTTCTAATTTGCATTTTCCTAAAGACTAAAGATGCTCGTAGTCTTTTCATGTGCTAATTTACCACCTACACATCTTCTCTGGTGAACTGTCTGTTCAAATTTTTTGCCCATTTTTAATGAGGTTGTCTGTTTTCTTGAGTTTAAGAATTCTTAAAGTATTCTGGATACCGGTCCTTTAGCGGACATATGATTTAAAATTTATCCCAGTCTGTGACTTGTCTTTTCATTCTCTTAACAGTTTTAAAGAGCAGAAATATTTAACTTGGATGAAGTCAAATTTATTAATGTTTTCTTTTATGGATTGCACTTTTTGTGTCATATCTAAGAAGTCTTTGCCTAAACTAAGCTCATAACAGTTTTCCTTTATGTTTCCTTCCAGAAGTTTTACAGTTTTAGGTATTACATTTAGGCCTATATCAATTTTGAATGAATTTTTCTATATGGTATGAAGTATTTCTTGAAGTTCATTTTTTTTTTTCCAATTTGGATAGCCAATGGTTCCAGCACCATTTGTTCAAAACTATCTTTATAAAAGATACTTTATCTTTGTCAAAAATCATTTGCATTGATTATTTGTCTATCGTGACACCAATATCACACTGTCTTAATTGCTGTAACTTAGAACGAAATATTTTTCAAGACATATTTCTTCAAAGGTGATTTGGCTATTCTAGGTCCTCTGCATTTCCATAATGAATTTTAGACCCAGGTTGTCAATTTCTAAAGAAAAAATAAATGCCTCCTGGAAATGTGATTGTGTTGAATCTACAGTTCAATTTCACAAGAAATCACAACTTATAGCACAGTTTCCTCACTCTGTGGTTACCAATACTCAACTGAATACCTCTGCACATCTCTGGACTTCGCTCTGTGTGCCACTCTCCTCTCCGACACTCTGGCCTGCAAACTCTAGCTGTCTGGGTCTTGTTAGACTCTCAGTTCCACCACCTCAACTGCATCTGGGTTCTGCAGCCTCAAAACGCTCTCAAGGCAATAAGCTGAGGCAATCACAGGGATCACCTCATTTATTTATTTTTTTCCTCTCAAAGATCACTGTCCTTCACTTCCAGATATCCAATGTCTTCGTATCTGTTCTTTCATATATTTTGCCCATTGTTTAAAGGCAGGAAAGTAGATCTGGTCCCTCTTAATCCATCTTCTTTGGAAGTGGAAACTCTATTTTTAATTTTTAATGTCAAATCTGTTCTCAAAGTTATATAATTGAAGTAAAAACAGGACAAAACCTAACTAGTAACTAGTATAATGTTGATCACTGTTCACTTATTTGTTCATTAACCCATTTTATTCCTCAAATATTTATGGAGTTCTATATAGTAAGTACGGAGAATCAAAGCCAGACATGTCCCTTACTCTCAGAGCTTACAATCTAGTGTGACAGATAGACATTAATCAAATAATTATAAACAAAAATGTAATACTGCAACTGTGATATCTGCTATGAAGGAAAAGAAGAGAATAATGCTCTGAGACCTATTAGAGGATAATTTTATGGTATTTGTTTCTATTGAGCCTACATCCATGAGTTCAAAAATATCATTACTGTTTCTTCATGTTAAAGTCACAAAGAAACAAATTACATATACAGTGTAGAAAAAAGTATCCATTAAATAAACTTCTCAATATATGATGTACCTACTAAGTGTAAGATAATATGCTAAGTGCATGACACTATAGATCAAAAGTTAAACTTCAGATTTAATTGGGCACATAAAATCAATATAAGAAATATAAAGAAATACAATATATCTACATGATTTATAATAGAAAATAAAATTTACCATATAAACATCACTTTGTCTATCATTTTAAAAAATTATTTTTTTGACATCAGCTTAACTGCAGAAATGTGATCAGTTCCTTTGAGAAAACAATGCATTTATTTTATTTTGTTAAATCTTACCTAGATATCTCAGCTTGGGAATTTTTTTCTCCATCAACAGTGAAAGGAGATGCTCCAGTCAGTAATTCATACATCAGAACACCTAAACTCCACCAGTCAACTGCCTATAAAACAACAGTAATTTTATTTTATAGAATTATCAACTAAAATATTATGTAAGAAAGAAAAAAATGAACAAAAGAAAGCTATCTATTAGAAAAATGTTTTAACGAAAGGATTGTGTAACCTCCTTCTATGTAAGGAGTATTAACACATGCAAGAAAGACATTTAGAGACCAAATACCCAAGTATCCGCCATACAGAAAACATGTTATTTCTTTTTATCTTTTTTTAAAAAAATTCTTTAATTTTTTGCTTTTAAAATTTTGTTAATTATTTCTTAAACTAGTAACTGTTTCACCTTAATTTTAAAAAATCTAAACTTGAATGAATTTTAAAAATTTTAAGTAGGTAACATCTTTGGGTTTATGATAGGAAACTAAGTATTCAGCTCCAGTAAGCCTTATGATATGCCTAAAATTCAAAGAACAAAAAAAAAAAAAAAAAGAAAAAAAAAGAAAACCCACATCCAAGGGTATGTTATTTTTTTCCTAACTGCCTAAATCAATTTTTCTTACGGAACCTATCACACATAAACCTTAGGATCTTCACTGATGAGACGATCTAAAATAATATAAAATAAAATGTGTTCTAATTTGGAAACCAATTTACAAATGCATTTTCCTGAACTGAAAACATAGCAAATTATATATAATTTTAAAAATCTTTTGTTTGTTTTCTTTGAGATGGGGGTCTCACTATGTTGCCCAGGCTGGTCTCGAGCTCTTGGCTCAAGCAATCTACCCACGTCACCCTCCCAAAGTGCTGTGATTACAGGTGTGAGCTGCCATACCCAGCTTAAAGAATCTTGATGCATTGAAAATTACTTCTTCTTTAATTAGGCAAATCAGAGGTTTAATAACTTGAACACATGAGTATAACCAATGAGAAATATTAACTAGATGTTAAAATTTCAAACTATCTGCTTCCAATTACCAGGGCCTAAGTTTCAGAGTGGTGACAAAATTTATGAGCCCAGAACTATTAAGAAAATACAAAGTGCTGACATATAAAACCTATCAAGCAGACTACAATCAGGAAAGAATTTACTGAACTCTGTCCCCATGCCAGGCACCAGGATGAGCACTTTGCATATGCTATCTCATTTAATAACTGTCACATTGTTCCAGGTGTGGGAAGAAATATTTATTAACTAGCTATTTTCTGCACCTTAGGTATACAGAAATTGTAGGAGTAATACAAGATTTTCTTATGTAAAACTGGTTCCATTAGGTCTCTGAAGATAATTTTCAAATTAACAGGTATAAATTCCTACCAAACTCCCCAACAGCTTCATTAAATACCAAGAAGCTCAAAGAATACGAAGAAGCAAACTAAACCAGCAATTAAACTCTTCTATTATTTATACAAACAGTTTTACTGCCATTTGAGTCAGAACCCTCAGAATGTTTTGCTGTTGGAGTTAAAACCACATTCTTCAACTGACGAAGATCAATAATCAGATTCTTAGCCCTGGGTCCCAAAACCGACACCATACAAACTTGAAGAACATGCTTTTAAATATATGATTAGTCATCAGGAAGGAGACCAAAGATTCTCCACAGTCAGATATCTGAACTGTATATGTGGGACTCTGAAAGGGAATGAAGGAGAAGGAAAGATGGGGAACAAAAAATAGAATACCTTATTTGGATAAAGCTATTAATAAAACTGAAGTGTTAAAAAAAAAAACTGAACAAATTTTGTACCCTTTAATACAGAAAAAAACCATGACCTAGATTTTATAACGTAATTACTTAGAAAGCTTCTTCTAGAATTCTTCGTTTTGCACATACAAAGGGAAGAGTGGAGGCCAAAAAAAATTGAGCTTAGGAAAATAAACTTAAACTATCTAGAACTCAGGAGTTTTTCTTTTTCCAAGCGTCGTTAAAATGTTATATCTGTTGGAAAAATTATTTTTAAATGATCAATTATGCAATTATGTAGCTCATTTCTCCAGTGTCTCTGGAAAGTTAGAGACAGAAACTGGGAATAAGAAAATATGGGTGATTCCCTTTTCATTGACCTCTCAGTGACCTCTTAAAAAGTAAATAATTAATCAAAGGTGATACACATGACTATATGTTTCTGAATGTTTTTTTTTTTTTTTTTTTTTTTGAGACGGAGTTTCGCTCTTGTTAACCAGGCTGGAGTGCAATGGTGCGATCTCGGCTCACCGCAACCTCCGCCTCCTGGGTTCAGGCAATTCTCCTGCCTCAGCCTCCTGAGTAGCTGGGATTACAGGCACGCGCCACCATGCCCAGCTAATTTTTTGTATTTTTAGTAGAGACGGGGTTTCACCATGTCGACCAGGATGGTCTCGAACTCTCGACCTCGTGATCCACCTGCCTCGGCCTCCCCAAGTGCTGGGATTACAGGCTTGAGCCACCGCGCCCGGCCCTCTGAATGTTTTTCTAGCAGAATTAAAAATGCCAATAAGTGCTGACCAAAATCATTCATCATGACTCAAACAGGAACAATGTGCAGTTTTACATTGAGTGACGCTTTCGTATTGCATTGTGGCTCAGTTGTATCCTAAAAGATCAGGGTCTCATGCAAAAATAAATAAATAATTTTTAAAAAGAATGGAGTCACAGATTGTACTCTGTTTAAGAAACAGGCTCTCTCAACAGAAATAAAATAAAAATTACTTGAATAATTAATTTTGAGGTCTCAACTTTAACAACAGTATTACTTTATAAAACACAATTCTCACCAATAAAATCTTTAAAAAGGGAAATCTAGAATGTCCTAACCTTTGTATTATCATTTTCTTCAAAAATACTAGATATCACAATGTGTTTAGAAATACAAAGCAAAAGAGAAAAAAAAAGGAAGGTAAGATAATCAACACCAGAAAGATGGCTCTGTTGTAGAGATGACCTAAGTTGTTAACTAGGATTCTTATAGTACATTTTATAGGAATATATAAAGAAGCATCAAAAATAGAACATACCTTGTCATGTCCTGAATCTCCCCCTCGGACAATATCTGGTGCCATGTATTCAATAGTTCCACAAAAGGAATATGCTCTTTCAGTCTTGAAGAAACAAACAAAAAAGGGGTTTGATTTCAAGCTAGTATGACAAGTGACAAAAGAAGAAAGTTGATAATACACGTTAGTGGTTGAGATACACTCTAGTGGCAAAGTAGTGATAGAATCTACCTGACAGACCTTCTTTTCATCAGAACAGACCACTGCCTACATAATATGAGTCCTGGGTGTATGAGAAAGACTTCTCATGCATGAAATCCATCCATCCATCCATCCATCCATCCTTTCCATGAATCCCTTCATTTATTCTTGTTCACTTATTGTATGCATGTATATTTGAGTTGTTGACTTATTTAACCATTTTTTTTTTAAAGAATGCAAATAGTACTAGTGAGGCAACATGAACTGTCAAACACATTGGTATAAATGACTTTATCAGTCAAGATTGAGAAAACAGTTGGAAACTTGAAGGGGGAGAGAAGACCAAACTCTAAGAAGTGGAAATAAACCCAAATATTTAAAAAAAGATAAAGTTTTTTCTACCTTACCATCTTGTGTAGGTTTGACAATGCTTATGATATGTTTAATGATGGTGCACAAAACTGTCTTGGAAAAAAAAAAAGATTATTTCTTAAAGGTAGATATTTCTTTTTTATAGAATTTAAGAAATTCTAAAGGGCTAATATATTGTGCCTGAAAGTTAACCTAAAAAATTATTTTTTAAATGACCGATTATGCAATCACATAGCTCATTTCTTTATTGTCTCAACTTAGAGGAAGCTCAAAACCACTCCGAGTTAAGTGCTTAAAAGATATTTCTTCTATCTTTTCCATGTAATTTTTGGCCTCTCTTATAATTCATTTTAGCTTATCTGGTGCTTTGGGAAGTAGCTGATAGAATATACATTAATATTTATTTTATAGAAATTCCAGAAGATAGAAAAATTAAAGCTTAAGTGTTGAGAAGTTCCAATCACTGAGAATAGTAGTAAACAAAGACAAACATTCCTTAATTCTCTCAATTATTTTAAAACCTTGCCATCTTATCCAGTTCCAAATCTATATTTGCTTCCTCCTGTGTTATTCCCTCTGGGTTCTAACTTTCAGGTCTCTGCCTAAACTTCCTAAGAGTTTATCTTCTATTTGTAAAAATATCACCAATTGTAACTTTTGAATTTGTAATTATCTGCCTACGAAGATGTATGTTATCTAGAGTGTATACCAAACATCTTAAAATAATTCTACCACGAAGACAAACTGATGAGATTTGACAGGGGAAGGATGCACCCCAGAACATATTCCAGACCAGGCGTGGTGGCTCACGCCTGTAATCCCAGCACTTTGGGAGGCTGAGGTGGGTGAATCATGAAGTCAGGAGTTTGAGACCAGCCTGACCAACACAGTGAAACTCTGTCTCGACTAAAAATACAAAAATTAGCCAGGCATGGTGGCACAGGCCTGTAATCCCAGCTACTCAGGAGGCTGAGGCAGGAGAATCACTTGAACCTGGGAGTTGGAATTTACAGTAAGCAGAGATCATGCCACTGCCCTCCAGCCTGGGTAACAGAGCAAGACTCCAACTCAAAAACAAACAAACAAACAAACAAACAACAACAACAAAAAAAAACATATTCCAGAGTCTCTGACAGGGGCAGGAAAGACTTCAAGGTAATAATTTTACTGTAATTATGGTTTATTATTTGTTCAAAATACAGTAATTTTCTCAAGTAACAATTTTCTCAAGGAGACAACCTATTCAACATTTATGACCATACTATTTTATAAGCAACATTAGTTGTCACAGAGTTTAAAAACTGTGAATGAAAATTTACTTGATTATGAACAAAAACAGCAGGAGTGGGATGTGTACAACATACTAGCAGATAATATGAAATACTCATGTGTCTTAAGTGATTAGCCAATCAAGGAGGCTTCGTTGCTCCTTAGAGAAAAGGATCAGATAACACTGGACAAAAAACTAGTTTTCTTCTATGGAAGAATCCCAACAGCAACTCAAAGGCCGAACTCAAGTACTTCTCATTGAAGACTCAGATGAAATCATTCCTAGCTTTCATCTGCCAATGTTTTGTCCTAATCATATCTGCTTGGGACAGATAAATGCCGGTGCAAAATTACCAATGAAAACAGTTTTTTTTTTTCCCCCATCCCATATTTGGAAAGACTGTTAATGTTGGCAAATCTCCACACACAAATCTAGAAATGTTTGATTTTTTTTTTTTTAATTACATATTTCATTGGTAATCGCCAAAGACCATGCTCACAAGAAAGAAAGGGGAACTCCTGGGTTCCAGCTAGGAAGTAGGTACAGAAAACCAGAGAGGTAGGCATATGACCTAATGCTGTGGCTGCGCAAAGGGAGGAAATGTGAGTTGTTACAGATCTCAGCAATGCAGAAACTTGAGTTTTTATACCCTAGGAAGATAAAAGATGAGGTTCTCAGCTCAAATGAGATGAGCTAGAATTACCACTCCTGTATAACCTTGAAACCAGAGAAAGCTAAATCTCAGTGAAAGCAAACTATAGAAAAATAAATTTACCTGCTGGCACTCATTTGTTTCCATCTAGGCCCTAGCTTAGCAAAGTTCTTCCTGTGATCTCAAATGCCTCGGCTTATGCTTCTTAGATTTGAGATCGGAATTAACTCTTCCGAATCGTATGGAGAAGTAGGAAAATCTGGAAATCTGGCAAAACATGATGACACCCTAGGACAAATAATAGAACCAGAGACGTTCTCACAACTTAGACTGCCCAGAATTCCTGTGAAGCCCTGATGTCTTGATATTACCAAGTGAGTGAAGTAGACTTCACAGACACAACAAACAGAAGGATTACTTGAAACAATAGAAAAACAATCTGTAAATCACCGGTATGCTGTTTGTAAAAGATAAAAGACATAAAAGAAGACAGCCTGGGCAAGATGGAAAAACCCTATCTCTAAAAACATTAAAAATAAAAAATTAAGGCATGGTGGCTCATGCCTGTAGTCCCAGCTACTTGGGAAACTGAGGCAAGAGGATCATTCATCTGAGCACAGAAGGTCAAGGGTGCAGTGAGCCATGATCACCACTGCACGCCAGCCCGGGTGACAGAATGAGATCCTGTCTAAAAAAAAAAAAGAAAGAAAGAAGAAAAACATCTGTTTTTTTGTTTTTTTTTTAAAGCATAGAAGAGATAAGATGTGAAAAAGAATCAAATAGAGCTGTGCAAATACAGAAATAAGGCAATAAAAAAGGCAAATTAAACATATTAGACACAGCTAAAGAAAGAAAGTACATTAGAGGATACTTTTGCAATATTCTGGATAATTTTCTCAAGACTTAGTAAAATTGCTGGGCATGGTGGCTCAAATCTGTAATCCCAGCATTCTGGGAGGCCAAGGTGGGCGGATCACTTGAGATCAGGAGTTGGAGAACAGCCTGGCCAACATCGTTCAAACCTTGTCTCTACCAAAAATGCATGGTGGTGTATGCCTGCAGTCCTAGCTACTTGGGAGGCTGAGACAGGAGGACTGCTTAAACCTGGGAGGTGGAGGTTGCAGTGAGCAGAGATAGCACAACTGCATTCCAGCCTGGGCCACAGAGTGAGACCCTGTCTCAAAAAAAAAAAAAAAAAAAAAAAAAGACTTAGTAAATTTGAGAAAATTAACCAGAATGTTCCAAAAGTCCTAAGCAGATTAAATAAAAATATATTCACAAGTGGCCACATTCTGTGTGTGTGTGTGTGTGTGTGTGTGTGTCTCAAAGGCCCATTCCTAGATCTATTCATATGCAGCAGCTAAATTATTAGTTAATATGCAGGGCAAAATAAAGCATTTTAAGACAAAGACAGAATTTATTAATCATTGATCCTTGCTAAAAAGAAACTAAAGTATGTATTTCAGAAAGAAGCTGAACTTGGAAGAAAAAAATTCAGATGCAAGAAGCAAGAATAAGCAGAGAAAATATATGTGTAAGTAAATGTAAACAAGCACTGAATTTATAAAACTGTACAGTAATGATTGTGGAAATTTACCAGGTAGGACTAAAATACTAAATAATATGAAAATTAGATGAATAACTGAAGTTGAAGCATTCCAATGTTCTTGTACTGGTCATAATCACCTGAGAGATAATGGATAATTTCAGACTATTCACAAGTTTAAAATCAGGGTAATATTATAGAAATGCCTTGTGTATAAAAATAAATAAATAAAATCAGGGTAATAACCACTAAAAGAATAGAAATAGAATATACATGACTTCTAGACCATTAGGTGGACATGAAATAAAAAGATCTTAATCATTTATATAGAAGACAGAAAAAAGGAAAAAAGAAGCAAAGAGGAACACAAAGCAAGATAAGATAAATAAATAAAAATACATCAGTAAGCATAAAATACAGGTATCATAACTCACCAGTTAAAAGACAGAAACTCCTGATCAAAAAATAAAATCCAGTTATAGGTTATTTACAAAAGGCACACCTAAAACATAACGACAAAGAAAGATTGAAAGAAAAGACATGAAAAAAGTTGTATCGGACAGCACTAACCAACAGAAAGGTGAAGTATCTTTATTAATAGGAGGAGAAATGAACTTTAAAGCCAAATAATTATTAAAACTACCTACATTACAAAATAATAAAAGGAACATTTATTTCACTAGGAAATAACTCTATTCCAAGTTTGAATATCCTTTAAAATTTTTGAAAAGCCTTAAAATATGTAAAATAAAAATGGAGAGATCTTCAAGAAGAAATGAACAAATCCACAATCATCACAGATATTTTAAATTATGTTTCTTACAACTGACAGATCAAGAAGGAAAACATTAGTAAATATATTCAAGATATGAATGATATTCATGAAAATACACAAAACCCTGTATCCATCATCAATTAGAGAATACCCACACAGGCTTTCAGACATAAAATTCTAAGCAAAATATTAGCAAATAAAATCTGGCAATGTTCAAAAATATATATATCATGGGAAGTAATGTTTGTTCCAGGAATTGAAAGACTGTCTAACACTGAAAAAGAAAAAA